GTACTTGAGTAAAAGTAGAAGTACCAGAGTGTAGGAATACTCTGTTACAGTAAAAGTCCTGCATTCAAAATGTTCCTCAAGTGAAAGTAGAAAAGTATTCTAAAAATACTAAGAGGCATGAAAATACATTTTCAAAATGCTCAACAGTGCTGCCAAAATTATAAACTGACTGCTACACAATTAAAATAAATGCTTTTATATATTTCTATTAGATGTAACTCTTTGGCGTTTCTGTTATTATTACCTGCTGCTTTAGTTGTTCTGACTGCTAAAATCCTGTTATTCCTAATTTTAACCCGATATTCCGTGGGGTCGGGGGGCTCGGATCCTTGTCACCTTTTTCATACCTGATGAGTTTGCATCCCTGACTACAGTTGCTTTAGCGTGTAGAAGCTAGTAAGCCTACTATTTGATTTGTTTTAGATAGGCATCTGCATCAGACAGCATATGGTTATTGAAATAAATATATATGCAATTACGACATACAAGATGTGCCTTTAATAAATCTCACACTACTAAGGCAGCCGGCGGTTCCACCAGGGGCGTCAATCCCGGGGGGGGGGGATTTCTTCCCCCCCTAGCTTCAGATTGGACCCCCCTAAGTCATTTAGAATAATAGAAATACATGTTAAAATAATGAATTTTTTGATAATAAATCAGTAAAATCAGGCAAAAATAAGAATGAAATAACCTAACACCGAAATAAAGTAACCAAAAACCGAAAAGAAAATAACAAAATCCGCCATTATCCGGCACATTTTTGCGCACAATTTCGGAGCGCACAATTTCGGCGCGACCGCCACGACGACTCAGAAGGTGCCCTTTTTTTTCTCTTGAGCACCTGCCCCTATAAATGTCTGTGCACGCCACTGAAAATGGGGGATGTTGGCTTATCTGGCTCCCGCAGCTCACAGCCAAAATGCGAGTGAGCGTGGGAGCGAGGGAGGGTGCACCGGTTCTGGCGCAGTTGTTATTAGAATCTGGTGCTAGCTGCTCTAACGGATATAAGAAGAAGATGTTTCTACAATAATGTGGAGGGAGAGTCCTCTCCAGTCAGACTGAGTGGCTGATAACTACAGCTCAGTGAGGTAAAGGACTCTTGAGTGTTTAGATAGTTCACTTTAGTCTAAGTTATCTCAGTGGGTCTCAAACGTTTTGATCACAATTTATGTAAGCACATATTTCCAAGGCACTCCTTTATAATTATTGGGATAAACAGGTTTTAAATCATTCCAATGTATACTATAGGACAGTAAACCAGACATATCGTTTAAAACTGGAAAGATAAAAAAAATGCATAAATAAATGTTAAGGTAAAATAAGATATGAATGAACAACACAAATAAAATAAGTTACATTCATTTGTTATTGGCTATGGTAGGTTATTGGTTATGTTCACATACTTATTTGATTACATCCACTTGTCTAAGATGACAACAGAGACTTTCGACCCAAAACCAGCTGTTGACTTGTGGATGCAAGCAGCTAATCACAGACTCAACCAGAGAGAAAGTAGTAGGCCTACATCATCAGCTACCATGTCTGACAGAGAGGAAGACAGTGAGGAGAACAGTCAGGAGGGTAGTGATGACAGCTTGTAGGATTACTGGTCATGCTAATGTTGTCTTGTGTTCACCTCTGCATGTGTGTTCTGTGTTCACCTCTGCATGTGTGTTCTGTGTTCACCTCTGCATGTGTGTTCAGTGCCGTGTGTCTGGCAAATAAAGTCAAGACCCTCAAAAGTTACGGTTTATTTCATTTTAAGGATGAGCACCAAGCAACATCTCCAGGTGCTCCTTTGAGAACCAGGGCAAAAAAGTTATGTGCACCCCTGTCTATAATCAAATCTGTACGGAGGTTCTGCAGGGTGTGGGGTATGTATGGTGTATATCTTGGCATATAAATGTTGTGTGCTACTGTTGGTGTTTTCAGCTATTCATATCTTAGACTGCACTGTAACTTTTATCCATGTATTTTTTCTTTTAATGTTTATTTTATTAGCTTTTCTTTTTAATGACTGATTTTAAATGCCATTTTCTTAATGTCTTTCATTTTTTGTAAAGCACTTCGAATTGCCTTGTGTTGAAAAGTGCTATATAAATAAACTTGCCTTGCCTTCAGCTAGCTGGCAACATAATGTTGTAACTGTCAGCTGCTAGGCTACCTTTCTAATTTCTTTGCAATAGACGTTTTCCACTTCGGTAGGCATCATGGCGCAGTTTCCACAAGTGCACCTAAATAACAACAGTTGTATGTACAGTTTGGTTGGTTAGCATATAACATACGGCTGTACCGACGCCATTGTAAAACTGATGTTCCGCTCAGAGCCGAAAAAAGAACGGTGATAGACATGGGCGGAGCCTTTCTGGTGGTTGACTAATCAGAACAGAGTGGCCGAGCTGACCAATCAGAGCACAGTGGGCTCATAGGGAGGGGGGGGCAGGAGCTCCAACAAGCCGGCCGGGGACTTCGGGTGGCAGTATATGCCGTGAAGTTGTTTGCAGCCTGCCAGTAAACCCAAAGCAGAAGAAGAAGAAGTGACGTCAGCGGCTTCATTTGCGTAATCTCACCTCAGGGAACTTTTCCGGTGTGAACGCCATCTGTACTTAGTTCCATGGGGTACTAAGTGCAGGGCACTAATGCGGCTTTCACACCAGCGCTTTTCCCTTTCTAGCTCCGAGCGGGAGCTTTTCTGGTTCAGCTCCGGTTTCCCATTTCTGCTCCCGCTCTGTTCACACCGCCCAGAGCTGCCGCTGCTGCGTCATGACGTCACCGTTTACGTGCCTGCTTCATAAAATCCAAACCGCGCGGAAATCCCTCACATCGACAACAACAACAATGGCCGATTGTATTGAAGCGCTGTTCGCTTTGGTTATCCTCTTACGAAACGAAATGGAAGGCATCGGACGACTTTACAAGGGACGACTTTACAAGGGACGACTTTACAAGGGACGACTTTACTTGGAACTTTACAAACATCACATGCCCCTGCCCCCGCCTCGACGTAAGCGCCGCCGCCTCTTAGCTCCGAAGCTCTTGCCTCTAGACCGACAATTTTTTGGAGCTGGAAGTGAACCGGATTCCGGAGCTAAGAGGCGGCGCCTCTGCGGTGTGAACAGGAAAAATCGGTACTTTTCAGGCACCAGCTCCGAGCCGGAGCTGAAAACGCGTTGGTATGAAAACGGCATAAGTGCTGGGCACTAAGTATGGCAAAGTACTTGGTGTGAAAGCGGCTAATGGGAGGAACCTTCAAATCCTCTTTTACCTACAGCTTAGCCGATCTCCATTTAAAAAACACGCATTTTAAAAGGTTTTTCTCCTGCCGTCTGTCTGTAGACTTGTCAAAGCATTAATTCATGGTTTTTACTAACCGGTATCAGTATGTTGTTACTTCGGCATCATTTTGAAACGTGCATTACAATTAAATCACGGTCAAATATGTTCATTTTGTTGTAGTTGTAGCCCCCTTGCCAGCGATTCTCTCTAGTTTAGCATATTCAGCCCGACTCAGCCTGGTTGTTGGCCCGGAAAGAACCTCGATTTTATGGGGCCAGAAAAACTGTGAAATAGTACCCGCTAGCCGCAACTACGCCAAGTGGAAACGCAACCAAAAACGTGCCGGCACGGCACGCTTAAAGCGAGCTCCGCACTGTAGTGGAAATGCGCCATTAGAGTGTAGAGGGTCTTAAAACTCTTCAGAAAAAATATTTAAAACTGCTCCGAGCCAAAATATACACTATTCAAATAATTTCAAAAGATTTCAGGGGCATAATTAGTCTGGCCTGCTCAATTGCCTTCATCATATCAAACGGACCCACCGTTCTGGCCCAATAGTGATCTGAGTGACGAAAGGTCCACCTTGCTCGCATTAGACTCCCATGTTAAAACATTTAGGATCTTTCTTCAGAACAGAGAGAAGTAAACTTTAGACAAACTGCTCCCATCTTCACATTTTACACACAAAACTCCAAACAAAAAACATATTTCAGTTCATTGGGGTTCCTTGATGCTCACGGTCTGGTAATTTTTTTTGATAGGAGCCATAGTTTTTGAACAGGTGGCAAAATTGTCAGATATAATTCTGGACTCAGTGCTGCAGTTGGTTACCATGGTGTTGCTGGGCAGATTGGACACACACCCACACACCTTTTTCCCTCCAAAATAAACCCCTGACATTACAAAATGCATGATTATATACCAGTATGGCTGAGAGATCAAAATATGTGGTTATAATGGGAGTGAATGGGACATTTTAGATTTTTTTTTAAAGATTCGATTCTGTGCAAACACTAATAATGCACCAAAATCAATGTAGCTAATCTTTGAAATATCCAAGACTGTGATAAAAACAAAAAAAACAGACCCCTCCAACATTTATTATATGGAAAATAACTCCCTTTTTGTGCACATTTTTCTTAAAAAACGCAACATGTTTTCAAACTGGCAGTTAAAGGGTTAAAATCCTGAAAATAATAAAAATGTTGGTATTTTTTTTACTAGGGCTGAAGTTGCTTTAAAGATTGAACCCAAAAAAGTTGAGAAAAAAACATTTTAATATAAAGTTTTTATCAAAGTTTTTGGCAGTGGACATTTTTATCCCGAATGGTCGATTAGGGTTGTCGATTTTTAAATAATAGACCCATTTAAAAAAAATTAAATTCCAAAATATATCGAAAAAATAGCCATGTTACAAAAAAATCATGCCATTTGCAGTAACACAACCAAAGTTATTGCCAAATGAAATGGGAAAAATTAGTGATACCGGAGGATTAGGAAATATACAGGCCATCACTTTTTTGTTGGCAGCCCTAGTATCATCAAATCCAAGTTATGAAGAATTAACACCTGTCAAATGCATAAACCAACACAAGGTGATAATGCGTCTGTTGAATACATATGAAAACTGTTTGTTTATTCTAACCTGAAATAGAAAAACATCTCAATTAAATGATCATCATAACATGTCTCCTCTGTCCCCCGACCCCTCACCCTCCTCTCACCAGGCAGGCTGCTGCTGCTGAACAGATCCAGGTACTGCTCCATGGAGGTCAGCACTTTGTAGCCGGCACAGTTGATGGTTCCTTTGGGGTGGAGGTGTCTGTCGTGGGCCTGGGCAGAATAGTTAACATGTTAGAAAGTGAGTCAAAGCAGAATAATGTAAACCAGATTTGAGAGACTCACTGCTTTGCTGTCGTAATAGTTGAGGTTGTAGGAGTCTGGAACAAAGACGAAGTGGTTCCTCCATTTCTTGTTCTCCTCCAGATAGTGAAAGAGCGAGCCAGAGAAAATTGATTTGTTTTCCAAAGGAATCTGTGAATGACCACAAACCTTATAGAAGCAAACATATTTTCATGACAGTTAACTGCACAGGAGGAGGCCTTAGGAGCTTTTGTTATTGCCAGAGAAGCAGGAAAAAGACAGTGTTTATATTTTATAGAAATACACTTCGAAAATGTGCCATTAGAAGTGGTTTCTTAATCCACAAACACCAGACTAACAATGTTTTCCTCAAGTAAGATGACTGCATTTCTCACTACACTCGTAAACAAGAACATAATCAGTCTCCAGACAGTAAAAAGCAGACAAAGATATAAAGGGGACCTATCGTGCAAAATGCACTTTTTGATGTATTGTATACATAAACATGTGTCCCCGATGTGTCAGGGAACTCACGCAGAGTCAGAAAATAAAACCCTCTCTTTTCCTCCGTACCCAAATCTCTAAAAACGGGGCTACAACGGCGCTGATCCAGAATTGCGGCCGATATGACGTAATATGGGCGGCGGACCCACGGCACTATCAGAAACGTTGCTATCAGAAACAATGCCCGACTGTTTTGGACGTAATATGGTCGGTGTTTACATTAGCATCGCTAACACTCAGAGCTAACCTGTACTGGAGAGCATGTGTGTGAAGAAGCAGGAAATACAAAGGAACTCACCTTGTGGTATAACCGCTCCGCCCCCACTTATTTTTTTCAGTTAACAAAAAAAAAGAAGTTTTAAAAAAATATATTGTATTTAGCCTTTATTTATACAGGTGACAATCTCATTGAGACACAGGGTCTCATTCTCAAAATAAACCTGTTTATACCCAGAATCAGCACTTTTGTAACAGGAAGAGAAATAGAGGGCTATGAGGCTAGAATGGGTGATCCGTTTGGTTTTTTGACCAAAACACTTCATAGATATGTTTTTTATATATATTGCCTAAAAATAGCACGATAGGTGACCTTTAACATTGTATGTAATTTTTTTCAATAACATATTAAAGTCACCCAGTCCGTGACTTTTCCTGAAAGTGTGTTATGTATCACCCTCTGTTGTTAACAATTGTCAATATGAAGTCAGATTGAAAAGATTAGCCAAAAAAATGCCATTTATACCTATATCCGCCAGCGGGTAATATTTACCTCATAGAAAATGCAGCGTAAACATGACGTGTTGCTATAGCAACGCCTTTTGTCTACTGCGGTTCCTTATAGATAGAGAGATAGATTGAGAGAGATAGAGATAGATAGATAGATAGATATATTGATAGATGGATAGAGAGAGATATATACAGACAGATAGATAGTGTAACATCTTGGAGAATACAAGATCTTGGATGACTGAGCTCACGTTGAGGACGTAATGCATGTGTGCAGGTTACGTGCCAGTTGAATAAAGATGGACACTCGGAATGAGAGAAGTAGTCTGCGTCGTCTGTTTATAGACAATTATAGGCTATATCCATAGAACAGAACATTACAGATGGATCGATAGATAGTTATAGATAGATAGAGAGATAGAGAGATTTGTATCTAAACAAAACACAAGTCTAACACCAAGCGTTTAAATCAGCACTCTTAGCGATATGTTATACTTCATGCTATCTGCACAAACTATATCACATGAAAAGCTGAGAGTCCACAGATTCTATTGGTATACGTTTCATCCCTGTGCGATCAAAACTCACTGTTCTGTATGATAAATAAAAGAACATTGTACCTTGAAAATCAATAGCGGGTACATTTGACCCGTTGGCGGTTTTAGGTATACAGCGACCTCTGGCGGTTCTAGTGTTGAGTTAAACTAAATGTTGAAACATGACTAAAACGCAAAAGCCCTACATGCAATTTCCCTTAAAAAAAATGCCAAAATTATTCGAGTGTTATCCTCTCTGCAGGCATCACTGGCCTCACCACACCTACAGTGATGGCTTCCACAAGTTCACCTGGAACTCCAAAACAGCAAGTATAGGAAGTCTGTTTGTCTCTCAAAGAGCTGGGCTGGTTAAAGTTAGAAATTAACGGACGGTCTGGCAGCGTGCGGGATCTGGCACTGATGTAACTCAACTAGCTAATGTGACCAACACTGGCAGAATGAGTTGTGTTTTAATTAGGGCTGTCAAGTTAACACGTTAATAACGCAAAAAAGAAAACGCCACTAATTATTTTAACGCGATTAACGCGTATTTTATTCGTCGGCCGCCCCGTAGTTTCAGAGCGCATCGAGTTTGAAATACCATCAACAAGCTAATGCTGACAGCCCCGCTCCTGCCGCGCGCTTGCAGCAGACCACACTTCCACGCTCACCGGCAGGCACCGACTGGCCATCGGGAGGACCGGGAGGGTGTGTGTATGTGTGGCTCGAGCGAGATCTTACGTGTATTGTTGTTGTTAGCATCTGGTGCTAGCTAGCTGCGCTAATGGATATAATGAGCTGTTTAAATGAAAACAGAGGAGCGACATTTCGTCCGACAACTGCGCCGAGCACTTGACTTTATGCAGGAAGCCAGACAGTGGGACATTGTACGAAAAGTCAGCACACGATCACGCGCAACATGATCACAGCGTCCAGGCGACACACACACACACACACACACACACACACACACACACACACACACACACACACACACACACACACACACACACACACACACACACACACACACACACACACACCACACACACACACACACACACACACACACACACACACACACACACACACACACACACACACACACACACACACACACACACACACACACACACACACACACACACACACACACACACACACACACACAGTATGCGAGAGGTTCCAGGTTGAATTGAGGTGAAAAGTTAGGGAATATAAACATATGTAATACTATAGCGAGTGTGTGCTGTGTGTGGAGGACATGGTCTTGCAGAGAGGTGGAAGAGGTCTTACCTTGCGGTGTAGCAGCTGAGGTTGTGGGCCAGCTCCTCCTTCTATGTCAAAGCGAACTTTGTTGAAGAGAGCCACGGCATACTGCTGCTCATACAGACGGCCAAACTCCCCCATCACCTCCCTGGTCTGAGCTGAAACACACACGCACAGATTGTTATCACAGTACTGACAGTGTTCTAGAAAGGTTCTACATTTAGAGTACAAATTATTATTTTATAATTAACACAATAATTGTGGAAGTGTTTGCACTCGGTAATGCCCATTGGCTTGACATTGTGTCTCAAAGAATGAGCATTACAGTTTCAGGGTTTGCTTACATGGCTAAATGGTAAACTTTATCAACACTCATCTTAAAAGGTTTTTGTTATCAATGGTATAAGATCAACAAAGCTAATACAAAAAGTTTGAAAAGAACAAACACTCACACAGTGCAGGTCAAATGTCCATCATCTGTGTACTTGTGTGATAATTATATGTGATAATTGTTTTAAAGGTGATCTGTTATGCAAAATCTTCTTTTCCATGTATTTTATACAAAAATGTGTCCCCTCTGTTTTCAGAGATTGGGAAAGTTTCAGGAACAATCTATATAAAAACCTCTCTGAGAATGAGCTGAGATGTCGGACACTTTTTGATGTCACTAGCCTCATCCCAATACCCCTCCTCGACTCCTCCTTTCCCTCACTCGCCTCCCCTCCTTGCGTCTTAGCTCCGCCTCCGTAAGATGCGAGCGAGAGACACGAGGAGGTGACGCGAGGACAGAGGAGTCCTCAGGTATTCATTGGGATGTCCTCGTTCACTCAAACGTCACTCTTAAACGACGTCTGTTAATGATGACATGTGCACAGCTGTATCCCCTCTCATCGGGCTTAACTGAATAACTCCTTAGAACCGGCCCATTTCCGGTTAAATATTTATTTAAATGAATGAATCTTTCTCTTGTTAGTCAAGGAATTCAATGTATGATGGTTGGTCCTGCTTTTGTGTTCCGTTTTGGTGTAAAATGTAGCCTACATTTAAATAAAAATATAATTATAGTAATGTGAAATCCTTTACTCTGAAAATGTGTGTCCTGTAGATCCCCACATTCACCACATTCAGGACTGTGAATTTTAAATAATTTAACTCCTGAATATCTTCACACAAAACAATACAAATAATTGTTATTTATCAAGATCTAGCCATTTATGAAATAGCGTTCTTAATAGCTATGTTTTAGTGACGTTCAAGATCATTAAACATTACTTAAAATTGTGCAATTCATTTCTTAACCTTAAGAAATGAATTGCACATAATAATTCCCACGGAGCTGTGAGCACTTATACATTTATGTGACGCTTTTCCACTCATCTTCCAGTTGTCGGTTTTCCTCTGTTCAAATGGACCAGCTGTGAAGGTGGGGGCGGGGCTTTTATACGCGAGTAGTGAAAACACTTCCGCATAGTCTGCTCGCGTGTATCCTCCCTTTCGTCTCCTCCCGCACCCCTCCTCGACTCCTCCGTGTGCATTTCAGCTATTGGGACGTCCTTCAACATGGCGTGTCCTGATCGATTTCCGGGTCAAGTCCCGGAGGAGGGGAAGAGAGGAGTCGAGGAGGGGTATTGGGATGAGGCTACCATGTTTTTTGGGTTGGGCAACCATTAGCCAATCACCAACCAAGGTAACACCCGCCCACCTTATCACCTATAATCTCCTCCTAGAGCAGTGGTTCTCAAACTTTTTTCAATAATGTACCCCCTTTGAAAAACAATGTCAGCCAAGTACCCCCTGATCAGCGCAACAATTATTTGTTAGGGACAAAATGCCTATAGGTACAGTACAGCGCTGCACCATCAGAGTCTGATTTATTAAAACAACAACCTTGTAACTGAGAAACACTTAATGCTACATTTCAAATGTTTACAATCCATCACTAAATTCATGGCAAACCCATTTTAACATCATGCAATAACACTAAGACGACATTAGTTGCATTGAACTGATCTTTTTAATAAGTTGTACTTACAATGTAGTGAAACATGGGCTTGTGCTTCACTGAGGATCTTTGTCATTCTGACAGGGAGGCACCCGCAGTTATTACACTTCGCGTTTGGAAATATGTACAACTCAAATTAAATAAATCAAAATAACTGTACATTAAATACATTTGACATTTAGCTTGAGCTGGCTTTAATACTTTCTTCATGGTGTTCAAATTGGGCTCAAGTAGAACCTTTACCCATGTATTTAGCTAGTTCTGAAAGAATAATCAACATTGTGCACAACAAGATAAAGCACCATAACACCTCTATCAGCTGACGCCAACAGGCAGGAGCAGGGAGACAAAACACTGAGAGCACAGCAGCCCAAGGTTGCAGGCTACTCTGAAAAATATAAATCATATACTGGTTTGTTTAACACCTTTGTGTTTACCACATCATTCCATATTATGTTTTTTCATAGTTTTGATGTATTCGGTATTAATCTACAATGTAAAAAATATAAATAAATCAAAACCTTCGAATGAGAAGGTGTGTCCAAACTGTTGACTGGCACTGTGTGTGATCAAAGGTTTTTCAAATGCTGCAGCAACTGTCATGGGGGGGGGGGGGGGGGGGGGGGGCAGTGTGTGTGTGTGTGTTGGACATCTTGCACCACAATTCTTTCTCAATGTTCTTCCAATGAAACGGTCCCCCTGTCAGGGTGTGTGACTTCCACAGAACTGATAAAAACACTCACACCCATAAACACACATGATGTGTGGACTCATTTGGCTTTGGGGATTGTTTTTGCATGAATTCAGTATCATTTTCCTTGGAATATGACTCCTCCCAGGTAATGATTGCACAATGACCCACAGCATCTTTGTTCTCTATAAGCAGCAGTGTTTTTTTTTTAAACCAATCATCTCTCAGAGAGGCGTGGCCAGCAGCAGCTCATTAGCATTTAAAACTACAGACACAGAATCAGCACTTTTGGAACAGGGCTGATACAGAGGGGTTTATAGGATGCTGCAATAATCGGTTTGGTGTTTCAGCTAAACACTTCAGAGACATTTTCTGTATATATCTGAGACCTATGATATATTGTTAAAAAAAAAAGAAGAGTATAATAGGGGACCTTTAAGGTTAAAGTCCAATAGAAAGTTGAGGAAGGTTAAAGAATGGCATCATATACTGCGCTCTTTTTCTTTATCAGTAAGAGCTCTGGGCAGCCTTCACATATCTAGCAGCTAACATATTACACTTCTAAAAAGGAGAGCTTTGCATTGCCTTTTTGCCCAAAGTTATTCCTGGAAATGCAAGTTAACTGATCCCAATGAAATCATTATCTATGATCCAGATCTAGCAAGTCTGTTTATATGAACAATTAACCACTACACTCTGGAAAAGAGTATAACGTTGGAGAAGTGGTTCTTTAATTTAATCTGGCTTCTTACCTGGACATCGCTGAACACACGAAGGAGATACAGAGGGTTGGCACCGATTCCTTCCTGGAGTTCAAAGACCAAACTAAGGCGATACCCAGGGTTGGCAGCATGTCCTTTACCCCCGCTCCTCAACGACGCCGACAAAAATCACTGCAGAGACGCACACCATCTCCCCCGTCTTCATCACCATGCCTACGTCAACCACCTCCCCCCCTGGCAGCATGTCCTCTACCCCCGCACCATCTCCCCCGTCTCCATCACCGTGCCTACGTCAACCACCTCCCCTCCCTTCGAGGGGGCATCTGCAGTCTCCGAAGCCTGATAAGAATGTGTGTGTACAAAACGCAACAAACTCTTACTGATATGTGCTGGGTCCAGGCTCAAGGGCGTATGGCACTCTCAACTCTTTCCAGGACATGCCGGGGCCCTGCCTGCCTATAGCTTTGCCGATATCTGTGTTGATAGGTAATAGATTAAGAGCGGTGAATCAGCTTAGAAACAGGAAGTGCTCAAACGTTTGTGTGAGTTTATCAAATTTAGCAGTGATTCCATGTCAGCCACAGCTTGTCACAAAAAATCCAACAAATTTAAACTAGCTTTATTAAATGTCAGGTCTCTGGCAGGAAAAACATTTTTAATCAATGATTTTATCACTGAGCACAACCTCAATTTTATGTTTTTAACGGAAACTTGGATTGAACAAAATAACAGTGCAGCTGTTCTTATAGAATCAACCCCTCCCAACTTTAGTTTTATGAGTCAGGAAAGAATGCATAAGAAAGGGGGTGGAGTTGCTATTCTGTTCAATGATTCCCTTCAATGCAGGAAGACATCTTACGGGAACTTTGCTTCTTTTGAATATGTGGCCCTTCAGCTGAAAGGCTCCTCTCGAGCTCTGTTCCTAAATATCTATAGACCACCCAAATACTGTGCAAGCTTTTTTGATGACTTTACTGAACTGCTGTCTATAGACTGAACTGCTGTCTATAGACAGCAGTTCAGTAAAATCACCAACAATGACTAGACGGTCAAAGTCAATACACACTATAGTGTGTATTGACTTTGACCGTCTAGTCATTGTTGGTGATTTTAACATCCATGTTGACAAGCTGAGAGCTCTATTTCTGTTCACAAGAATGTTCAAAAAGAGGTAACCACAAAGCGATATTTAACTGAAGATACTAGGGAAATGTTTACTCGGAATTTTTCATCCACACTTGCCCCTGCTAAGATCTCAGTAAATGAGCTAGTAGATCATTTTAATTCAAAAATTAAAAATGTTATAGATGCCATTGCTCCAACTAAGGTAAATATCTCCATGGAGAAAGGCCATGACCGTGAGAGCAGAAAAAAGAGAGTGTCGAAAAGCGGAACGGAGGTGGCGAAAAACAAATCTCCAGGTCCACTTTGAAATCTATAAAGAGAGACTTGGCCTTTATAATTTGGAATTGAAAAACGCACGACAGTCTTTCTTCTCTGACATCATTACCAAAAACAATGCACGTGCCTTGTTTGCTACCGTCGACAGACTAACTAACCCCCCAGTGTCAGTAGCCTCTGAATTTCTATCCACCAGGGCGTGCAATGATTTTGCCTCCTTCTTCACTGACAACATTCAGAAAATCAGACAAGCAGTCAGTGCCTCTGCATCAGGTAGAGCAAATGTGTTGTCTCTGTGTCCACTTAACATCAATTCAAACACCATGACACAATTCCATCAGA